AAAGTGTCCCTTTTATCCTGAGTTACGCAATGTGTCACTTTAACTATATTGTGGCTGTTATCTGTGTTGAGTTTCGTCATCGTAGAAAACTCGGTAGTACAGTTTATCGTGATGGAAGGTTCAATCCGAATTGCTAATTTATAAACTAAAACATTTTGATGGTGCGAGTTGAAGCTTTCATCCGATCTTGGCTCGAAACATTAACGTGTGTGGGAAAAACAAAATATCCCTGATCTTTGGGGTAGTGGAAGCCGATCAGTAACTTTAGTTCGTTTACGTAGAACGATTAGAGTCTTGCAGAAACTGCAATCTGACTTATTGTAGCCGAGTCGCGATTACGACAATGTGGTAGGCATGCGGAAAATGCAGAAGTTTTATATTGTTTGCGTTCACCTTGATGTTTATACCGTAATGTTTGTAAGGAGAGTTTTACGATAGCGAAACATTGTGCGGAGGCATCTGTTGTCCTTTAATAAGCGAATGATTGTTAAGGAGATATCACCTTAGCTATAATCGTGTCATATCTGCTTATATATAGGAACGATGTATTGTAACATCGTTTTTATGTTTAGCTCGGAAATTTTGTTGGCAAAGAAAATCTCTTCTTCTCATAGATAAAAAATCGAAACGAACCGCATATATTAATAGCTTTACTATATAACATACGTTTTCCATTATTTTTCTATACTCAGGAATTAATATTATCTGTTTCTTAAACCAATCATCTTTCTTCTGTTTGTGACTGAAGTGATTTTAACGAACTCATACATAAATCTAAACACCGCACTGAATCGCTACGTACCGAACGATTATCTTATGATGCTACCAATGCTTACTACTGATGCTACCAATATTGTGAAATTATTAGTTTGTTTGTACAATTTGTCAGTCCGTTATCGAAACGACGTCCACAACTCATTTACGACTCCGACATTCTAACCTCGATGCCGTTCTATTTATAAAAATTCGACCCCCCCCCCCCCCCCCCGAGGAGTAGAGTTAGCTATGCATCAAACCCCCTACCCAGCATACTAGTTAATCACGGGTTCATCTCTAATGTAACTCACTTCACTTGTTAATACTGTTGTTGACTGTTTGTTATGTGTGATAACAGGCGAGATTGAATACGAACACAATGGCGATGAAAGACTCATTGATTTTTTCACTGTTATCGGACGAGCTAATGCCCTCGGAAAAGAGACCGCCCCAGCTACAATACATGTCAAAATACAGCCGGGTAAGTCTACAAATACGGCGGAAGGGAAACGGTAGTGAGGGTTCAATGCAGCTAGTCTCAGCTATCTGCACCTCGATTGATCTCTAAAACAAGTTACTAACGAACCACTGTTAAAAACTCATATTTATGTATCACTTATAAAATTTAAATTAACATTTATATGTCCTTATGAAAACGTTTATATATGAATCAGTGTTCTTGAAAACTATTAATGTTAAACCTTATAATGAAACTATCCTGACGACTCAGATTTACAACAAGCTCTAGCGAATTGCGCTGCTAAGTTGGCTACCTGACTTTTTGCAGTGGGTTGAGATGTGCTGAGCCAGACGTATGTATGTCACAATCTATTATCACTAAATAGCCCCTTCGTAATAAGCAGACGTCATTTCCTTAGTAACATCGCCAAACACGACCCTTCTCTGTACCCTGTAAACCGAAAAGAACAATAGAAAAAGATATTTCGGATCCGTTTTTATTCGATTTCGAAACAATGCTGTCTCCTATACTTTAACTGGCTGTCGACATGCACCCCTGTTCGGGGATCCCTGTATTTTGTAGTGAACGACGAGATCCCACAAATTGTGGAGAACGTCGGTTTGGAATTATGGGAAGGCGAGTGGGCAGTAATAACCAACGAACGCTTAGCCGCCGTCGACGAAGATACGCCACCTGAAGATGTACGCTTCACGCTGACCCAGCCCCCGAGCAACGGTTTCGTAGCACTGGTTACCAACATCGGTCAACCAATTTTGACCTTCACGCAGGCCGAAATTAACCGAAACGTGATCGTATTTTCACACACGGGTAAGAAACGACCACAACATACATTGCTTAAAGATGTTTAGCATTTACGATAAACAACAATTATTAGAGGGACGAAAATTTAAGCAAAATAACAGTTTATAAAACGATTTTATTTTTACATTTTCCAAAAATAGGAACGTTTTAAATTTACTTGTCGCTTACTTTCCCACTGTTTCCACATTATATGTATATATATATATATATATATATATATATATATTAGTGTTGTATAATATAATATGCTATAATGCTATACGTCTAAAACGCAATAGTTATAACAATGACTACTGTGATGCCTCAAATAGTTCTATTGGTTAATATTAGAAGAGTCTATTTTTTATTTATAGTATCGTACTAAACGAGTAGAGAAATGGTATTAGAAAGAAAATGCTATTTTTATAGAAAAAATATTATAAAAAACAGTAACTCTTTATTATATATATATATATATATATATATATATATATCCATTTGCATTTAAATGCACATGCACGTGTCCTTGATTTGATAACGACCCTCAATTATTATTGTTTATTTACAAAAGCAACATTTACCTTAACTTATAGCATGAATAACTATTGGAAAACGACGATTTCCCGTAAACCTACTGCCATCGCGTGTATTAGCTGAGCATCTGCGTAAGGGCCTGCCTTCCTATTGGACCTTCTACTATTTGTTTCTGTATATCAGTAGTGGCCTGAAGCAGAAGCTCTGCTCATCGGTCATTTGACTATGAGCATATAATAAAACAGCGTTGTTTACGGACTATGCGGGCTGCAAACAGGTGAAATAGGTTGACTGTGTTGAGTTGTTTACAAAAACTATTACTAGTGACACTATTTCACCTTTTAGTAAATAGAAAAATTAAAAGTTTTGGGTTCTTCATACATTTCACGAAATATTTGATGAGGTACGAGTCGAACTTACATTTGCGATGCAGACTCCCAACCTTCATCGTGTAAACGACACAGATTCCGTCATAATTATGACGAAAAACACTTACATATTCGTTGGTTTTCCTGGGACTCTTGCAGGACCCGAAGCCGGTGGCTTCAAGTTTCAAGTGGACGATGGTTCGAACACAGTTATGGGACAAAAGTTCACAGTCAAAGCGAAGGAGATTGTCGTCAATCTGACACGCAATGAGCGTCTACGTGTTGAGCCAGGAGGACAGCAAAGCATCACATCAGATCATCTGAAGGCCATATCGACAATGCGGCCGAAAAATTCAACTTCTCTAATTACGTATGCAGTGTCGAAAGAGCCTCAATTTGGACGAGTTTTGTTAGAGAAACTGGACGGCACCCTCGAAACTATTAGCGAATTTACACAGGACCAAATCGACCAAACGCTTGTACTCTATGAGAACACTTCGCCAACGAAGAACGACTCGTTCGAGTTTAGCGTTTCTACGAATACTGGCAAATTAAACAAGGAACTGCATACGTTTACAATCGATGTGTCGCCTAAGAGCATTATCGACTCGCCGATTGTCGTTCAAGCAAAAGAAGGCAATTTGGCCGCGCTTCGCGGAGATATTCTAGCAATTGGCAACGTCCTTCCAAAGGCCAACATCTCTGTAATTCGGCAACCACTTCATGGTTGGATTGGACTTGACGGACCAAAGGGCGTCGAGCCAACGGAAGTGTTTAGCGACGAGGACATAAATCACGGTCGCGTCTGGTACAATCATGACGATAGTGAAACGTTTGAGGATAAATTTGTCGTATCAGTCCAGCGACTGGAAAAGGTAGGGGAGCCACTCAACATTTCAGTGTTCGTCGAAATTGAGCCCGTTAATGATCAGCCGCCGATGCTCAAAACTGAAGCGCCGGTTGTGGAGATTGTCGAAGGCCAACACACAACTTTAACGAGAGATATGCTCTACACGGAGGACGCCGACAATATCAGCTCGCAAGTTGTATATAATCTAGACTATACCGACCTCGTGACTTTCATTAAGAACGATTCAAATCCTGTGTGGACATTTACTCAACAGGATATTGATGAGATGCGAATTTCCGTCTCGTGCAATAATACCGAGGCCAATGCAATATTCGAAATAAAATTTCAGGTCGATGACGGTATTCATGCGGCACATCACGCCGTGCTAACGGTAACAGTAAAGCCACCGATATTGACGACGACGAGGAATTCCGAGGTAATACTAACACAAGGGTCGTTCTATCGTGAAATAACTAACTTTGAACTAGACGTCGAAACAGACAGTAAACGAGAAGAATGTTGGTACGACGTAATTCAGCCGCCTGAAAATGGGCACATTCACCTTCTCGGCAATAACACAACTGTGTTCCGTCAGGAAGATGTCGACACGGGCAGTGTTCAGTATGTGCAAGTAAACAATATTACAGCCACCGAGGATTTCTTTTTGGTTGATATACACTGTCAGAGCGCAACTCTGAAAGCAATTCGGGTTAACGTGACCGTTATTGCCCTAGTCAACCAAGAACGGCTTCTGGAAGTCCCCTTGCACAGTCGTGGCATTATTGGTAAGCGCCATCTTGACGCGAGCAAGGTCGCGGCCAAACATCAGAGCAACCCTCGCTTTCATATCACCCGAAAGCCGAAAAATGGTATTGTTGGCAAGCTCGGCGTAGGCCCCGTGGATCAGTTCACGCATGAAGACGTCCTCAATTCACAAGTGTACTATCAGTCGCGTGGAGGCAGTGCACCGTCCGAGGACAGCTTCGAGTTCAAGCTATGCTCCCCGGGCGTACAGCCTGGAAAGGGCCAGCTAATTATTGTTGTCACCCGGCCTTCCAGCGTTCCCGAGGTAGATGATTCGGTTCCGATGACAACGCCGGATGTGCCTGTTAGCGTGGAAGTGCCTGTAGCATCGACAACGACTGTGTCGTTGCTTGAGTTGGACCGGAGCCAGGTTCACCAGGTAATCCTGCTTTTATCTCTAGTCGCCGTGGCAATCGTAGTTATTTCGGTGGCATTTGTCTTCCTTCTCTGCAAGGTTGTGCGCCTGTCGAGCGCGTCGTCATGCAAGAGCCAAGGAGGTGGCAGTAACAGCAGCACGTACGTGTCGAACAGTGGATTTCTTGATCAGGACGAAGTAGACCGCTTTATAGCGCAAACCGCGCCCCCACCACCGCCCCAGTTGCGAATCGGAATGACGGCAGATCACGGCGTGGAAACGCCGGTCATCCTCGATTACACGGCATCGCTGCAGGACAACCACAACACGGCCATGCAGCTCGAATGCCAAAGCGGCACTGGGCGCGAGGCTGAGGAATCTGATTCGAAAGAAGGCGGGGCCTCATCTCCTATTCCGGTTTTACGTAAGAATCAGTATTGGGTTTGATGTTTAGAGGCCCCGCCGGGGCCTGACCACGTTGTATATAGCCCTCAAGCCACCCCACCTCAACAGATTTTTAATAATACTTCCGCTACCATATCCAGCATGGATCATCATATTGTGGAACAGCGAGAGATGCATGAGTCACCTTCGCAACATCAAAAACAAATACAACTTATGCAGCAACAACAGTCGTTGTTAGTCCATCATCAGTCTTCTCCAATACCGATTATTTACGCACCTCATGCATCCGTATCATCGTCTCATCACGTTGCTCATCTTATTCAGCCACCATCAACGCCATTCAGTACCCTCGAGCCGATACCTGCTGAGAGCGAGGAAGCGCTAGACTCAATGCCTGCCGATCCGTCAGCGACAGCAGCATTCGCTTACTCGGTCCCGTTAGTGTACGGCATTGATGATTTCGACAATTCCGGTGTGGAGAGCCGCGAAGGCGGTAGTGATGAGGTTGATGAGGAAACTAAACGGCGCCAGCAGAGCATCGAACGTCAATACGATATGCGTCCATACCAGCATCGGCTCGACGAACCTGCTAAATCGGATCAGCAGCTAGCTAACAAGAGCAGTTCGGTCGACAACGAAAAGGGGCGTGCCCCGCTACAAGACTGGCTGGGACCATCCAGCTTAGTCTGAACTTCGTACTATATTACTATTGCATGGTAAGAGACATCAACTAGAAGCACAACAGCAAATTCGTACGTAACGACATTTGCATCACACATTTGTACACACGCGGAAGCCAATTTCGGACGTGCCGTGCGTATAATGTCGAAAAAAAAAAAAACAAGACAGTATCAAACACTTGCTAGTTGTTGCTTATGTTCTAAGAAGAAACCAGCGAAGGCAACCTTCTGTTCTAATGGCCGATAACGTGAGCGGCCTTGTCTACCGCAATATTATGTAGAACACTGGGTTGGTTGACTGTAATGACGGTGCCGCTAACAGCGACCATGTAACTAAATAGTAGCTGACTGATCAAGTTCTTAACTAACGACAACTAACCTATGACTCGTAATAGCACCTGAAGAAGTACACGATCGAGCAAGTATTACGGCTGGAGCGATATCAATGCAATTATTAAGATTACGATCATTATTATAGGTATTATTACTGTTCAGGTTGTTATTATTATCGTAATATGATAGTGATCACATAGTGATACGATGATAAAGTGCATAATGTCATACCAATTACCCAAACACCTATTACCCACTTACAAATAGCATTGCAAACGTAGATTGCTAGATAAATTTCCAAATAATATAATGCTGCTTGTCATTATCAGCCCAAGATTTAGGCAACCATTTATCATTAACCGCTGTTCGTTCAAAATCTGTTCGTTGATGAAGACGTAGATAGAATAATTTCATAGCGAAGAACCGGTCTAAGGTTTCAAACACCTATTTATACCTATATTTCGTACCAAAAAACCATCCCTGCCTACCTACCTGCCTGCCTGCCTGCCTGCCTGCCTATCTACGGTCCACTCGTCAAAAGGCTAAAAAAATCTCAATTGCTAGTGCAATGAAAACGCACTCGGTACTCGGTACCTGTTCAAATCCACCGCTGCACGTACAAGCCGCAGATTGTGGCCACTAACTAGCTCCTACTAACTTTGGTCTAACCAGTGCATATCCGACTAACAACGTAACGCAAACGTAGCCAACGACGCTCAAGCTAAATGCTTGATTTTCCTTCTGGGTCAAGCCTAGCGGCCCAATAACAAATACGAGCCTTTCTTTGTAACGAGGGCAGAAGACTCGCTGTATCTGCACATATGTCAGTATTCGCCGTGCTAACCTAGTATACAGCATAAGTAACACTATAAATGTTTGAAATAACACAGCGTCTTAATTCGGTTGGCCGTTGGTGTCGTCCTTGGAACCAGTTTCGAACGACCGATTATATGACATCGTAGAATACAACCCAGCTGAAATTTCCAGCTAAAACGAACGGAAAAAAGAGCTCTGGGCTGTTCATGAAAAAAATACCTTAACAGTTAGTCCCAGTTAACTGAACACACAGAGCTAACATTTGAAGTCTCCGCTAGTCTGTATGTGGTGCCAATTTTGCTCCAGTACACAACCCCAGGGGGTAACGCTTGCATGATAATAAGATAGCATTTCATAAATTAATCATGAGCGATTAATGTAAATTTTTCGTCAACGATCTAATAAGATATTTGTAATCAGTGACTAATAATAGCAGCAATACTACTGCTTGCTACCAACAGCCACCAGGAGCTTCCACAATCAGCTGTCTCACCTCACAACGATGACCGTTCATCACAGTGCATTGATTAAACGGCATAATGTGTATATATATATACACATATATACACACATATATATACATATGTGTGTGTGTATATATATATATATATATATATATATATATATATATATATATATATATATACACATATATACACACATATATATACATAGTTAAGGTAAATGTTGCTTTTGTAAATAAACAATAATAATTGAGGGTCGTTATCAAATCAAGGACACGTGCATGTGCATTTAAATGCAAATGGATATATATATATATATATATATATATATATATAATAAAGAGTTACTGTTTTTTATAATATTTTTTCTATAAAAATAGCATTTTCTTTCTAATACCATTTCTCTACTCGTTTAGTACGATACTATAAATAAAAAATAGACTCTTCTAATATTAACCAATAGAACTATTTGAGGCATCACAGTAGTCATTGTTATAACTATTGCGTTTTAGACGTATAGCATTATAGCATATTATATTATACAACACTAATATATATATATATATATATATATATATATATACATATAATGTGGAAACAGTGGGAAAGTAAGCGACAAGTAAATTTAAAACGTTCCTATTTTTGGAAAATGTAAAAATAAAATCGTTTTATAAACTGTTATTTTGCTTAAATTTTCGTCCCTCTAATAATTGTTGTTTATCGTAAATGCTAAACATCTTTAAGCAATGTATGTTGTGGTCGTTTCTTACCCGTGTGTGAAAATACGATCACGTTTCGGTTAATTTCGGCCTGCGTGAAGGTCAAAATTGGTTGACCGATGTTGGTAACCAGTGCTACGAAACCGTTGCTCGGGGGCTGGGTCAGCGTGAAGCGTACATCTTCAGGTGGCGTATCTTCGTCGACGGCGGCTAAGCGTTCGTTGGTTATTACTGCCCACTCGCCTTCCCATAATTCCAAACCGACGTTCTCCACAATTTGTGGGATCTCGTCGTTCACTACAAAATACAGGGATCCCCGAACAGGGGTGCATGTCGACAGCCAGTTAAAGTATAGGAGACAGCATTGTTTCGAAATCGAATAAAAACGGATCCGAAATATCTTTTTCTATTGTTCTTTTCGGTTTACAGGGTACAGAGAAGGGTCGTGTTTGGCGATGTTACTAAGGAAATGACGTCTGCTTATTACGAAGGGGCTATTTAGTGATAATAGATTGTGACATACATACGTCTGGCTCAGCACATCTCAACCCACTGCAAAAAGTCAGGTAGCCAACTTAGCAGCGCAATTCGCTAGAGCTTGTTGTAAATCTGAGTCGTCAGGATAGTTTCATTATAAGGTTTAACATTAATAGTTTTCAAGAACACTGATTCATATATAAACGTTTTCATAAGGACATATAAATGTTAATTTAAATTTTATAAGTGATACATAAATATGAGTTTTTAACAGTGGTTCGTTAGTAACTTGTTTTAGAGATCAATCGAGGTGCAGATAGCTGAGACTAGCTGCATTGAACCCTCACTACCGTTTCCCTTCCGCCGTATTTGTAGACTTACCCGGCTGTATTTTGACATGTATTGTAGCTGGGGCGGTCTCTTTTCCGAGGGCATTAGCTCGTCCGATAACAGTGAAAAAATCAATGAGTCTTTCATCGCCATTGTGTTCGTATTCAATCTCGCCTGTTATCACACATAACAAACAGTCAACAACAGTATTAACAAGTGAAGTGAGTTACATTAGAGATGAACCCGTGATTAACTAGTATGCTGGGTAGGGGGTTTGATGCATAGCTAACTCTACTCCTCGGGGGGGGGGGGGGGGGGGGAATTTTTATAAATAGAACGGCATCGAGGTTAGAATGTCGGAGTCGTAAATGAGTTGTGGACGTCGTTTCGATAACGGACTGACAAATTGTACAAACAAACTAATAAT